CATGAATACGTTCTAAAGAAGTCCTGCAAGAGTATATGTCCAGGAAATGCAAGCAGTGGTATTATTATCAGCACTGCTGACGACTACATGTTGATTAGGGTTGGAAACAAATCCAAATCGTGTACTGTGCACCGCATAAAGAGCTGGCATATGCGAGGCCCTGGGTTCTAGCCCAGCACAGAAAACAAAGTATCACTCACAGCAGATGAACATCATCAGCAAATTATTTTCTCTAACATCTATTTATAATGTTATAAAGGCTCAGACCAAAAAAAAACCTTATTTCAGCTATATAAAGCAACAATTTCATGTGATTTATTTTATCTTTGGTATACGCATTATCTGAAATGGTAACAAAAGCCTACTTTTGAACTTAAGCGTGTATTCCTACCCATTATTAAGCAGGTATTTTAATTTTCTGCTCCATATATCTGTCCAACTTGTTCTCCAGGCAGTACCAAAGGGAGTTGATTTTTTAAAAAATCAGGGTAGCGGGCTGTAGAGATGTCTCAGTGGTTAAGAACACTGGTTGTTCTTGCAGAAGACCCGGGTTCAAATCCCAGCACCCACATGGCAGCTAACAACTGTCCGTGACTCCAGTTCCAGGGGATCCGACAGCCTCTTCTGTCCTCCGTGGGCACTGCACGACCTGGGTGTACTTACCAACATGCAGGCACAACATACACATAGAATAAAAATAATAAATAAAATATTTTTTTAAAAATCAGGATAGCAAGCCAAATTTCACTTCCTCTATGTTATTTCAGTTCTATAACTGCCCATCCAACATACATGTAGTTATAAATCAGATCCAGGAATTGCAAATTAAATGAAGCATCCCAACATATTTTAGGGAACAGCAGAAGTCAAGAAGGTAAAATGACAGTGGTCATGCGGGCAGACACATGGCACCTTGAGGTAATGTGAAATCTGATCCCAGCTTAGGAAGACGTTTGTTGGAGCTGGAAAAGTTGGTAAGTGAATTAAGGGTTCTCACTGGAGCCCTGGACTACCAGGCTCCTGCTTGTTTTATGAGACCTCAGCAGGGTAAAATGGAAAGATAGGGCTACACTTCATTTCAGTCCTTTTTTGAACTTGAAGCATAAAGCAACCTTCCTCAAGTTTTCCGTATGCTGTCTTCTTTCCTCTGTAAAGCTGGATAACAATATTTATTCATAAGGCTAGTATGGGCTTAAGAAATAAAGTTCAGTATCTGGAGTACAGCACCTATTCAATAAGTGACAGTAAATTTATTTTATTTATTTATTTATTTATTTATTTAATCTATGAGAGAGTCTCCTTATGAAGCCCATACTGGCCTCAAACTTACAATCTTCCTGTCTCAGCCTCCGAGTACTGGGACTACAGGTGTGTGACACCGTAACTGATTTAATGACGGCTTTTCATTTCAGAGTCATCAAGGTGACTTATGCATTTAAAAAAATCTTTTACTTCTCAAAATCCTCCTATAAAATACACCTAATTTTAAAATGATTATCTCTATTTGTAGGTTGTTTTCCATTTTAAGGGCGTATTTCTCAAAACAGAGCATACCACAAAAACCCATTCATAACATTATTTTCTAGATTCCCCCTCAATGTATACTAATGGATACCAAACACTGTGAATATCTTTCCACTACAAGAAAGGAATGTCCTCTAATTTTTTTTCGCATTTCCCATCAGACTGTTTTTTTTCTTCCTTGTATGATATTTTTGAATTATTAAAAGACGGGAAGTACCCCAAGGTTGCCCTAGAAAAGTCATTCTTATCTAGATTCTACTGGAAACCTGCTGACTAAAATTCAGGAAGTTGGATAAGAGTCAAAGACACATATGAAGTGAACTCAGCCCTGACTCTCCTGGGTCTGCCTGCAGCCCTGGTGCTCATGCTGATGGAACCTGCTGACCAGAGCAACATGTCCAATGGCCTGCCTGACACTGGCAGGGTCCAGTTGGGCAGAGCTGCTGTCCACTCCTACAAATCATCCAGGCCAACTACTCATCTCGAACAGTTCAAGCATCTTGACCTGAACAAAATTATGATGTTAAATAAGCAACTTCATTTTTAAGAACTTTGACACTGGAGCCCAGTGAGATGGCCTAACAGGAAAAGGTACTTCCTGCCAAGCCTGACAACCTGAGTGTGACCTCCAGGACCCACCTCCACAAGTGCCCCCCACCACACTAAATAAATCAATGTCAAAAATAAAATAAAAATAAAGAACTACTACCCTATCTTCTTGCTATAAACTGTTACATTGTCCAAATCTTAGGCTAAATTTCCAGATAGTTACCTTTATTTTGTTCATCATATTTTGTCAGTCACTAGGCACTCACTGAGGCCAATCTTCCTGGGGTAAGGGTCAACCCTTCATGACAGGCCTCATCTCAGTCTTTTCACTAGCTCACTCTCCGCACTACATGTGGTTTGCTTCCTCCACGGGCTTCCCAGCACCGTGCCTCTTCACCTGTTTGCCTTCTTCTGTTTTCTCTGGGGGACTTTAAGTCTCATGTGGGTCAACTTGGTGCCCCCAGGACCTCAAATTTGGCACACAGTTATCAGTTATCACTAGTTTGTTTCAGTGAGTGAATGAATTAATGTAGAAAAACAGATTTTAATGTGGTTCTAGTCTTTCAGAGGTTGTGGGACATGTATGTAAGTATTATAAAATGGAAATTATAAAGGCTGAGTAAACATGGGAACTGAGTTTGAACCCCAGAAGTCTATGCATGGTGACGTGTGGTTATAACCACAGTTCTCAGGAGGTAGAGACAGGAGGGTCCCTGGGGCTCACTGGCCAGCTACTCTAGCTTCATCAATGAGTTCCAGGTTCCACGTACCAGTCTCAAAAAATAAGGTGGAAATCTCCTGAAGAATGCCACCCACCCAAGTTTACCCTCTGGCCTCCACATGTATGCACATACCTGTGCATATACACCTGCATATACACACAAAAGGAGCAAATAAATCATTAAAGAGCTAATAAGAAAAATGAGGATTCAACTTTCACTGTAGAAAATTTGGGGAATTCTGGGTTTAAAACATGGCATGAGAGGAGATGTGGAAGTGAGCAGGGTGAGACAGCCACGTGGGTCCATGAGGAACCCAAGATCTTTGTCAAGAAGCAAAAAGCATGAAGGGAGGAGTTGTAGACAGACAGATGGCACCCTAGGACCAGGCGGAGGGGTTTTATCAGTTATCTGATGGGAAATTAGGAATCACTGATGATGTTTGAAACATGACAGTCATAGGATCAAAGATAATATATCAATCTGCCAGGTATTGTGGTACATGCCTTTAATCCCAGCACTCAGGAGGCAGAGGCAGGTGGATCTCTGTGAGTTTGAGGCCAGCCTGGTCTACATAAGTGAGTTCCAGAGCTACTGGGGCTACATAGTGAGTCCGAGTCTCAAACAAAACAAACAAAAATATATATTAATGTAATAGTAATGTGAGGGTGAGGTGGGGGAGGGAATTGGAGGTGTTTCTGCTGATCTTTGACTCTACTATTTGTTTCCCTGAGTGTGGATTTTGTGGACTTTGTTTTGTTTTGTTTTGTTTCTGAGATGGTGTCCATGTAGTTCATGCTGGCCTAGAACTGGCTGTGTAGCCAGTGTTAACCATGAACTTGGGATTCTCCTGTCACCAGCTCCCAAGTTCTGGGATTACAACACCATGCCTGATTTATGCAATGCTAGAGATTTGACCCATGCCCTCCTGGATGCTAGGCAAGCCTTCTACCAAGTGAGCCCCCAAACGTGGCTTTTAGAAGCTAAGCATATATGATTTTCTCATTTCAACATCAATCCTCACAATTCCATAATGTATTTATTTATTTATTTAGCCTGGTGGCATGGTGGCACACACCTTTAATCCCAGCACTCAGGAGGCAGAGGCAGGTAGATCTCTGTGAGTTCTAAGCCAGCCTTGTTTACATAGTGAGTTCCAGGCCAGCTGGGTCTACAAGGAGACCTTGTCTCAAAATAAATAAATTTTTTTAAATTTTTATTTTAGTGTATGAGTATGTATGTATGTAACTGCATCTGTGTCCTGCAGTGCCTGCATGTATGTAAGTGCATCTGTGCCCTGCAATGCCTGAGGAGGTCAGTAGAGGGCATTGGATTCCCTAAAACTGGAGTTTCAGAGAGTTGTCAGCTGCCACGTGGGTGTTGGGAAGCAAACCCAGGTCCTCTACAAGAGCAGCCAGTGCTCTTAACTGCCGAGTCATCTCTCCAGCCCCCCCCCCATAACAGATGTTTTTAAAAGCCAAACAACACATTATAGAAATGAAACCTGAAAATCTATAGAATTTGGGAGTTGGAGAGGCAAGAGGGAAAAAGGACTTAGGGTTGCAAAACAGTTTCCAACTTGTTTCTACAGAAGAAAGCACATGTCATTTTATCGTCCTGCACTCTCTGATGCTAACAGAAGATAACGGGCTTTGGGTTAGACCTGGGTACTGAAGCACCACATTGTGCAGTGATTGTGGCTTCCTGTACTCCAAGCCCAGCTCCGTCCGCAGAATCTTAACAGTGGCTCTAGAGATCATCACAACAGTCAGAACAAAATCTGCTCACAAACTGATACCTGTATGTTGTGTCTGCTGCTGTTTTCAAAGCACAGACACCTCATATCATTAAGGGCAAACTTATTGAAGACATTAATAATTACTTATGCCATCTACTTCTTTTTAAAATATTTTATTTATTATTTTTGCTTTTATGTGTATGAGTGTATTGCCTGCATGTAGATAAGTGCACCTGTGCAATGCCCGTGGAAGACAGAAGAGGCTGTCGGATCCCCTGGAACTGGAGTTACAGACAGTTGTTAGCTGCCATGTGGGTGCTGGGATTCAAACCCGGGTCTTCTGCAAGAATAGTCAGTGTTCTTAACCACTGAGCCATCTCTCCAGCCCCACGCCATCTGCTTCCAAGTTAAGTTATACAGAAGTCAAGTAATCCTGACTTTACTTAATTTTGTTTTCTTTCTGTCATTACCTGTCAGGTATGTTTGCTCATGAATCTCTGTGATACTCAAGAGCTCCGCATCCTGCTGCTGGCAGCTCTTCCTTGCCTGAGACCAAGTTAAGGCGGACTTGGAGTTTATCTGGTAAAGAATGCTGGTCAACGGGTCTTTATTCCATAACCTCTCACTGCCCTCAACTGCAAAAGAAGACAAATGAATTTGCTGTGTTAGTCATGAGAAACACTTCCACTGAACAGCACATGTTTAAGCATCCATCTCCCACTATTATATCTTTTGCTGTTCCTGTCCATTCACTTGCCAATGCCAATCGTGCTTTCCCCACTTCTGAAATGTAGCTGTTCCAACCACAGCCTATCTGTTCCCTGTGTACAAAGTAAGAAAGGAAGGTACCACCTCCCTGGTTCCCTGCGGAGACATCTGGATCAGATGAGAAAATGCATGAGGCAAACCTAAGGAGAAAGGATCCAGACACCAGCCCAGCTTTCTTAATCAGTAAATGAAATAAGTGCATGCCCTCTCCTGGCGGTAGGTATGTGGCCTGCACGTTCTAGTTTGGTCTTCTGAGAGACGCAGGGCATGAGAGGGCAGGTCAAGCACTCCTGCAGACAGACTGGCTGCACCTGAACTTCAGGGGTTTGACCATAAAGTAAGTTTTGGAGACTCATTTTCTCATTTCCAGGATACATTCCATCTAAGCGAACTCTTAACAATAGAATATGCTGATTGTTAGGTTTTCTTTCCTCAGTAGAAAAAAAGGATCATTTAGCTCATGCTGTCCTTTGCAATTGCATAGTTTAAAATATCCTTTCTAAGCCTGGTGTACTCTATGAAAAGCCAGTAATACAGAAACATATGTATTATTGATGGACTTTTCCATATAAGATGTGTGGAAGCTAGTAAATAAATGTTTTATATGTTTTATATGTTTTCTGCTACGCTATGAAAATTTCCCCCTTTTTTTCTTTTCTTTCTTTCTTTTTTTTTTTTTTTTTTTTTTTTTTTTGGTCTTTTTGAGACAGGGTCTCCCTGTAGCCCCAGCTGGCCTGGATTTGCTGTGGAGACCAATATGGCCTCCAATCCCGGGTGCTGGGACTAAAGGCGTGTGCCACCACACCCAACCTCTGTTTTTCAATAACACAAAATTCTGCTTACAATCCCTGGGAAGGAAAGAAGAATATTTTCATTTACCTATAAGGAAGAGAGAGGGGATTATGTAACTTCTGAATTTTCAAAGAAGCATCCAACTTGTTAAGAAATTAGGAAGTTGTTTATAAGCATCCAGTATACGACATAATTCTTAACTCTGAACCTAATTGTGTTTTGCGTCTGATGAGGAAGTGATCACTGACCTTCTGTCACACACATAAACCAACCCTGTAAAGTGAAATTTGTGGTTCCTTGGCACATCAAAGATCAAGAAAAGTGCATTAGAACTTGATTCAGGCAACAACTTAGAAATGTCCAAGATTTGTTGTTGATACTAGAGATGAATCCCAGGGCCCTGCTGAGTGGAGGCCTCTACTACTGAGCTACATCCCCGAATGCTAGAATAACTATAAAGTCACTACATGGTTAATAAAACTAAATTTCAATTAAGAATGTTAAACTTAGAATGATCTGATGATGCTGTACAAAGTTAAATCTATGTAAGCAAGATCTTTCCATTGGGACTTATGTGGTGTTTATTTGAAGATGAATGTTTTAGACAAGTGTATATTTTTAATGTGGGTTTTGGTTATAAAATGGTAGGAAATGTGGCTGTTAATAAAAGGAGGATACTTCCTTGTTCAGAGATAGACAAGAGGATGTCAGTTTCCCCAAATGACATGAAGTGACTCTCCTCATTTAAAGTTCCTCTTGCATTTCAAATCAAAGAGCTAAAACGTGTTTTTTCAATGAACATACAGATTTGCTGACTATGCAGCTCCCCAGAGTCTATTCCCACAGTCACCAGCAACACTGACTTTGAAAGCAGAAGTTACAAGCTGTGGAGAATCGGGAGAATGGGGTCTTTTCCTTTTCCTGTTCTCATGCTACTTGAAAATAAATGTCTAAACAGAAGGAAAACAATACAATAAACAACCCAAAGGACAATGAAGAGCATGTATTAGTGTCACCAGGTCAGTCACTGGCAGCACATGTCCTGTATCAAATCTGCTAGCCTAAGGCTATTATAAAATAAAATCCTGCTTTGGAAAGGACCACAAAATAAAGTGGACTGTGAAATTTAAAAATCCTGTAAGACGTAAGATGTATAAGCTGCTTTAAATTGTTTTATACAGATGGAAATAAATCAAATTTTCTATATTTATATGATTTTTAGTCTTAACAGGGAAAATATATTATTTGGCTTTGGATATGTAGAATTACCAAGACTAAAAACAATTCTTCCAGATACACTCAGGATTCCACTCCAACACATATCCAAGGATACCAAATGTGGTGAACTTTCTTTGTGATTAGTGACTGGCCATTTGTCCTCCACCATAGATGTGAGGAAGTAGATAAGAAACTCCCACCCAACTAAGGAAATTATGGCAACCAATGGCTGCTGGGAGGGGCAGAGACAGTCTCTTTCAAGGATGGGACTCTTGGTAGGTTAACCAGGCTCCGGTCAATGGACCGACAGTGAAGGGCATTTGGGACACAAATTAGACTCTATGGACTAGATGGATGCATAGATAGATAGATGATAGATAGATAGATAGATAGATAGATAGATAGATAGATAGATGATAGATGGATGGATAGATAGATAATAGTTGATAGATAATAAAGTACATTAATAGTCCATATATAATAGAGTACATTAAATTACGTTGGGGAAAGTGAGGATAGGAGGTCTAATTACCATCAAATTATACTGTATGAAAATCACAAAAATTCAATAAAGAGGAAAAAATCTAGTTTTAATCTATGGCTTGATAGAATTAAAGTATTTTGGGGAGAATGGGGCACCTACCTCCAGCATTAAGTATACACAACACCGCATACAGAATAGTTTGCTCTACAGTCTTCCTTAGAGAATAAATGCTAATGCTAGGGAGTAGTTCCTTGGCAGAGTGCTTACCTAGCATGTGCAAGGCTCTGGGCTCAATTCTTCCTAGGTTGAAAGGAAAGAAGGAAGGAAGGAAAGAAGGGAGAGTGACAGTGGGTGGAAACTACATGGTCATTTGTTGCAAGGAATATTGGGACAATGGGGACATGGCTGATCTTTTTAGTAAGATCTAAGTGCACACAGTGGTCTCCAATCACAATCAGTCACTTGCTCCACTGTAAAATGGGAGTAATAACATCCACAAAGGGTTACAGTGGAATACACTGAGATAGTAAGTATGAAGTAACTTTGGGGAAAAAGCTCTAGGTAAAGTCAAGGTCCATCTCTGTGCTGTCCTGCTGAATGGCTGCATATTCTGCCTCATCTTGATCATGAACATTTACTTACATTTCAATGGGCAAAATCCAAACAGTTTGTCAGTGTCATAGTCTGCAGTGGTTCCACACCACAGCCATCCATCCGACCGCCCAGCGCTGGTGCAGTCTGCATACCACTTGTTTTCAAACTTGAATGGAAATGCACAGATGGCTCCATTTGCATTGCCCAGTAACGAGTACATGGCTGGAGGGACATAGGGATTGGCATTTAGAATGTGAGTGACATTTCTGCCTGCTGCCTTTACAAAGCATCTTCCTGTGCTGAAATTACAAGCATGCACTCCTCTGATCACACCTGCTGACACACACAGGGATGTCTTCTTTCCTTCTACTTTCAGCCGTCTTTCGGTTGGTACCTGCTGGAGCCTGTGCATAGAGATAACTTCCTCCCCATATATAGAGTATGCTTCCTCCCCATTGCACTCTGGAACAGGCTGTTCTCCTTCCTCTGAGGACACAGCAGCATCAAGCTCCTGTGACACCAGCTTTAACTTCTGCATCTCCTCCAATGCAGAGAAGCCATCCTTCCTCTTAGATGGAATCACTGTCTAGTAACCATTAGGTTGAAAATAACTTTGAAGTTGTGGAGCTTGCTGCACCAGTGTAAATAGCAGAGTTCAGATCCCAAGCACCCATATAAATGCTGGGTGGGTATGGCAGCCCACCTACAATCCTAGGTTTAGAAGGAAGGAGACAAGAGCTCCCCATAGCAAACTGGATAACCCAACTCAATGAATCAGTGAGCTTTGGGTTCAAGTGACTCAATATATAAACTATATAAAGTAGAGAGAAATGAAGAAAACACCCAACATCAACCTCTGATACATGTGCACATGCACCCACATGCATGCATGCATACTGAGAAAGAGGGGAGGGTCTATGGAACCAAAGCACAGGCTATACTCAAATCCCTTCCAGCTACTTTTGGTCAAGCCGGCCTCCACTTCATCTCTCCGCAGTGATTGAAGGGAAGGGCAGGAACACCATGTTCACTACTGCACTTTGTATCATGAAAGGAAATCTCTAGATACTATTTCAATCAGTACTTATCTTCCAAATTCATGAAAAATTATTTATTTTTTTTGAGATGGGCATCTCACTATTCAGACCACAATGGCCTCAAACTTATTTTCCTCCCGTCTTAGCCTCCTGTGTCTTGACATAACAGGGCTGTACCATCTCACCCAACCAATTTTTTATTATTTTGTTTGTTTTATTTTTCTTTTACCCACTGAGCTGGGTTTGTTTTTAATTACCTCAAAATCATTTTCTTTAAAGCTAAAGTGTTTTCCTAGACTTAGTTCCGCTAAGTTATAGGACCAGTTTTTTAAGCATTTATTTATTTATTGTTTATTATTTATTTATTGTATGTATGTGTGTGTGTGTGTGCACATACACCATGGTGCACATGTGGAGGTCAGAAGACAACTTGAAAAAATGTATTCTCTCTACCATGTGAGTTCCAGGGACTGAACTGGGGTCATCAGGCTTAACAGCAAGTGTCTTTACCTGCTGAGCTATCTCACCAATCCAAGGAATAATCTTCCCATCATAAATTTGTATAAGGAAATGCTGAATTCAGTAAGAATCAGGCAAAAATCATAGCTCCTACAAGGCCTGCTCCTTCCTATAAAAAAGCCCATGAGGACCATCTCAGGGCTTGTTGTACTTAATAAGTTAGTCAAGAAATAAATACGCTGGATTTATAGATGCCAGTCAGAGACAGCTCTTTTGTGACACATTCAATGTATTTGAGAATAACTGAGCCATTCTATATACTTGGTACAGATGGGGCCCAAAGAATCAAACTCTACCCCACTCACCTCATTAATTAGCACAGAGGTGCAATCAAATGTATCTACCTTTTAGAGGTCAAATTTCCAGTTAACCCTTTAACTCATCCAAGTCTGCAATTCCTATTCTAAACTAGTCCTATTGCCTGCTGGTTCTCCAACAAGGAATTGTCTTCAGCGATAACATATATTCCACTTAATGAATCAAAAGTCATTTTGAGAGAGTAGGCCATTCTGCAGGGTAAGTACTGAGAGATGGGTAGAGTGTGGGGAAAATGAAACCCACAATCGCCTTCACAAAGCATCAATATACTCATGGGTCCTTCCCATCACACAGACTCAGAATCTGAGTGAGAAAGGAGCTTAGGATCTTCATTTTTTAAACAAGTTCTCCAAACCAATTTTAAATCTATTGAAGTTTGACTACCCTAAACTCTATGCACATTTATCTCAAAGCAAATGGCCAAACAGAAGGACAGGAGAGGATAGCTACTACTAGGCTTAAAAAAAAAAGGCCAGGCATACTGGCCCAGGTCTCTAACCCCTGTTATTTAGAAGAGTGAGGGGGGAAGGTAACAAGTTCAAGGCCCGTGTCGGCTACAGAGTAAGTTCAAGGAAAGTCTGAGCAACTGAGTGAAACCCTGTTTCAAACTAGAAAGTGAAACCAAAGGATTGAGGATGTAGCTCAGAAACAGAACACATGCCCGGCATGTGTGAGACCCAAGGTTCAATCCCCAATACTGTGAAAAAATAAAATAAGTAGATAAGTCCAACGAGATGGCTTCTTGACACCATCTTTCTCAAAATTAAATCCTTCAAATAGACCATGTGCCTTCCGTAGAATTTGACTCAGTCAACTTTGAGTGACCCTGTCCTGGCCTTTAATTTTCTATTGAGTTTCTCCTGGAAGGTTGTGCTGTTTAGGTTGCCTCCTTCAGAATTTCTAAGTCTATATTGTGCTCAATAAAAGTCTTCAGATAACTTTTTTTCTGAATCCTACTCTCCCTACTCCGATTTCTACTCCCATCTCCTCTTTGTATAGACAGAAAACAGAAAATTGACAAATGACCCCTTTTAAAGACTGGATTCCTATGTTCTGCCTTCCTGTGATAAGCTGGGCAGCCCTGGCAACAAAGTCATTTTGGAAATAAGCATCCCTTGTCCCCAAAGGCATGCTCTTTCTCTGACCCTGAAGTTCTAGATAACACTTCACAACAACCAAGTGCCCAATCGTGAAACAGAGTGACAGCATCATCTGACTCAAGAGAGCAGCCTTTGTGAAAGGCTTCAAGTTCTTTTTAATTTTTGTTTTTTTTACTCTCTGTTTCTGAGCAGCCAAAGAGAATGAAATTTCACCATGATGAAGGAAGACTACATACTTTGGTTGTATTGCACCTTCAAGAGCTCAAGGGACCAACTGCAAATGAAATAACTTTTTACCTTCCAGTGCTCCTGCTTCCTAAGACAGGTGACCAAATATTCTTGCTAATTCATGAGCTAATTCAACAGTTTTTTTTCTGGCTATCATTGTCTATAAATACCCCAAAGTGACAAAATAAATCAGAAACGTTTAGAAACCTCAGTTGTCTGGGAAATCTGCATTAGTGACGAACAATGTTCTTATGGTAGTTTCTCTAGCGATAACCTTATCTTTTAAGAAAAGGAAAGTTTGGTTAGATTTATTTAACACAACAACCTCATAATGTTATATAGGAAGTTTTAGTCAGTTATTACAGTGCAAAGCATTTTTCTGAAAACTAACTTGTTTAAAAATATAGAGAAATTCAAAACTAATGTTTTTCTATTACTTGTAAATAATTAACATATTTTTCAAGATATTTTATATTTATTCACCATCGTGTCTGCTAGAACACAGAATAATTCAAACACTAAGTGATCAGCTGCTATTTCTAGTACAGACTATGTGTGAACATGTGTATGTCCTTCAGTTCCATCTAAGAACATACGGATACGTCACACAAGGACGAACTGGCCAAACCTCTTACCTTCATAACCCCTAGAACATAAGTCATCTGTGGTCCCGTAGACCTTCCACCTGCTCCACAAGCCAGACCCTTTGTAGAGCATGATGTTCTTTTCTTGTCTGTTGCCATAATTAAAAAATAAATCTTCATCCTTGATTCCAAAGAGAGTGTCATTTTTGCATTCCCATTTCTGAAATTCACTTTTGGTATCACAGGCATACAGGGTGATAGAGACCCAATCTGTTTTGGACGGCACCCCCAAGCATAGTTTGAAAGCCACACTCATGACCTGCGACTCCGACACCCATCGGAATTTCTGGGACTCAGCTGCAGGGTTGCAAACTGCTGTTTGAACTGAACTGGGAGTGATCGCTTCCACACAGCGCTTGTGATCTTCATTATAGATTAAAAAGTGCCTCGTATCTGTTCAGAAAAAGACAGAAAGCGGAATTAAGTATGTTCTCAGAATAAGGGCCGTATTTTAGGTCAAAAGTCCCCAGACTTTCCATTTCTCTAAGGCCTATGCTTATAGGAAAACAAGTGAAGGCAACTGTGCCTTGGGCGGCTCATTTCCTTCCTGGGCCTCCTGGAGGCTGGAGGGAGGAGCTGGAGAAAGGGCTGGTTGAAGGGTGGGCATAGTAAGCCCACTGGCTATAGCTACAGCCAGCAGCTAAAGTTGGCAAGGTGCAGTGGTTGTGTGTGAGGAGGCACTGTAGAGAAAAGCAGTTTAAGTGTTCCTGAGCTGGAATGGACATGGAAGGCTGATAGCAGAGGGCAATAATATCAACATGAGAAAGTGTGGTAATTAATTATAATGAGCTGTAGCATCAAACATATATGTGTCCTAGAATAGGGTTTTGAAATGTGATACATCCCAACCCTCTTTCGGGGAGCCAGGTGAAACCTATATAATTATTTTAGTGACAGCATTGGGGGTTTCTTGTAATTTAAAAACCATTTTTACTTTAACTCATGTGTGTGTATGTGTGTGTGTGTGCGCGCGTGCGCATGTGTGTGTGTGTGTGTGTGTGTGTGTATGGGTGCACTCGCCCACGCAGGTATTTGTGGAACCAGAGGTTGATGTAGGGATGGCTTCCTCAGTCTCTCGTCCACTTTACTTTTTTAGGCAGGATCTCCCACTGAGCACAGACATTGCCGCTTTGGCTGGACTGGCTGGCCAGCAAGCGCCCAGGACCACCCCTTCAATCTCAGAATTCGAATTACAGATGCACCCAGCCATGCCTGGATGCTGGAGATCTAAATTCAGGTCCTTGTGTTTTCGAGTCAATCATTTTACCTGCTAAATCAGCTCCCCTGCCCTACGTTAAGTCATTTCACATCCTGAAATATTTTTATTTTTTGTGTGTGGTACTGGAGATTGAACTAAAGGGTCTTTGTATGTGCTAAGTGGTTTCTCTAAATTGAACTATGTTTTTTACTTCTTATTTTGAGACAAGGTCTTACTCACTAAGTTGCCCAGGTTCACCTTGAACTTACTCTGTAGCCAAAGTAGACCTTGAACTTAGTGAACCCCCTGCTTCAGCCTCCCAAGTAGCAGAGATTACAGGTATATATGAACAGGCTTGGCTTGCCTTGCAAATTCTTGGAAGTGTCTTCTGAGTTAGGCTAACTCAACTAGTTTTTGTTTTGTTTTGTTCATTTTTCTCTTCTAAAAACAAAGAACTAAAAGATCTGACATCTGGAGTGTCTAAAATAATATTATTTTACCTTTCATTTACTGACATACTCTGTTTATATACCAAAAGATACAAAATGTAGTAATGATTTGCAAACCCTTCAAGAAAGGATTCAAAAATGTAAGTTTTTAATCATTGGAGTTATTTTATTTAGACGACTTAAAAATTACAATTACTTTTATGCTTGAAATCAGTAAATATGGATAGCTTTTGCTTCATGGCAAAACAGAACTTCCTCAGACCAGAAAGAAAAGAAAAAAAGACTCTCATAAGCAAAATTTTCCTTCTAAATCAGAATTTAGTTCATGCCAAGGCAATTCTTTTCTGTTTGGTTTTAAAGGATATCCAAGTGAAAATAAATTTAAGATTTTGACACAGATATAAAATAACCACTTCTGACATCTTTCTGAATTTCTTCTATTTGCATTGTAGGATTTTTTAAAATGAGCTAGTACCATTGCTGATTTCTGAGAAACAAAATAAATGAATTATCTGTTCTTAATCAACATTCCAGTGAAGATGAAAGGGAGGACAGAAAGGTAGGGAGGAGGGAGATAGGGAGGAGGAAGGGAGGGAGGGAAGGGAGGAAAGGAAAAAGAGAAAGAGAGAGGAAAAGAGAAGAAAAGAAGGCATCAGGAGAGACCTTCCCTATTTACAGAACACTTTCACAAGTGAAGTTCTGTTTCCTGTACACAGGTCCCCAGTGAGGTTAGCACCATCGACACTCTAGGTCAAGTCTAGGATCTTTCACTTAAAGCTCCTAATGAATCTTGACCTCCCCAAAGAATTTTCTCCTGACACATCTCCTCTCTCTATACCCCTTCTCTGCTCTTGTTTGCAAGCATCAAGGCCTCTGGCCTCATCCTACTTGGGTTCCTAATTCTGTGTCACTTTGAAGGGCCAACCGGGCTCCTCAATGTTATTCATCTGGGCTCCTCTGGTTTCTTGGACCCAGAACTCCAAAAAGTCTAAATTCAGAACACCTGCTTCTGGTCATCTCTGGAGCTGACATCTGTACACTGAACATGCCACACCTCAACAGGTCACTTCCTATCTACCTTAACTCCTCCTGACACTTAAGCACCTGTTGCTGCCCCTGTGTTCCTGTGACTTTGGAAAAAAAGTTTGTGAATAGGGTGCTTTGCTCACAGTAAATACAGGAGACAGGAATATTAAAAATATTTCTAATTTTTTAAAATTTATTTTTACTGAATTTCTGTGATTTTCATACAATATAATTTGATCATATTCAGGTTTCCTCCCCTATCTATACTTCCTTTTACTGCCCCTGACTCACCCAATTCAGTGTATTATATTATATATACTATAATAAGGCCCATAGAGTCTGATTTGTGTCCCCAAATGTCCTTCAACTAGAGCCTGGTTAACCTACCAAGAGTCCCATCCCTGTAAGAAACTGTTTCTCTCCTTCCAGCAGCCACCAATTGCCAAAAATTCCTTAGTTTGGTTGGGATTTCTTATTCACTTCCCCATGTCTATACTGGGATTTTGTCTGGTTTGAGCTTACAGGGACTTGTGCATGCTGTCACTATTGCTATTAATTCATATGAGTAACTGACCAGCTGTCTGGAAAGTTCTGTTTCCTTATGGTCATCTACCACCTCTGGCTTTTACAGTCTTTCTGCCCCCTCTTCCACAATGATCCCTGGTGATTAACATAGAAACCCACAACTGACCAATGTGAAGAGAACAGAAAATCGCATGGTGTTTGTCCCTGAATACAACACCTATTTCAAACTTCTACATCCCACAGCCCGGGAATCATTGTGGAAAAGGAGGCAGAAGTTTCTATTTATTTTTTATTTATTTTATGCACTATTTTGCATGCATACAATGCCCATAGAAGTCAGAAGAGGACATCAGAGTCCCCTGGAACTAGATTTACAGATAGCTGTTAGCTGTCTTGTGGGAGCTGGGAACCAAACCTGGGTCCTCTGCAGGAGCATCCAGAGCTCTTAGCATTTACCATCTCTGAGCCCCTTAAAAGGATTTTCAAAAGTTACAATGAGCATTTAACATACAAAATACTAGTTTAGAATCCTCTAATTTAAAAAAATCAGTTTCCTTAGTGCGATAGGTAGTGTGTCAGTCTTATAAAAATAAAGAAGTTGAGTGCTCTTCTTACTATCTCTTTGTTGGATGACCCCATGAGCATTATCCTGGTTGAATGCCTACGGGGTAATAAAATGTTTTTTTCTCTTCTTTTTAAAACTGGTTTTTATTTGTGTGTATGTGTGGGTGTGGGTGTGTGCGTGTGTGGCACACATACCATGGCACACATGTGGTAGTCAGAGGACAGTTGGCGGGAGTTAGTCTTCTCCTTCCACTATGTGGGTCCCAGGGATAGAATTCAAGTCCTCAGTACCTTTGCCCACTGAGCCACCTTTCAGGCTCTTTCTCTTCTGTCTTTATGGAGGAGGAGCCTGGGGTCGGGAGGAAACCACCCATCCCCTCTGCCCCACTCCCAAGCACCACACTCCGGCCCTCAGCCCCTTCACCTTCCCTCTCCCTCCTCTCATGTTCACTCACCACAGTCCAGCCCTGCTGCCTTGCTGCTCCTCAAACACTCCAGGCCAGTTGCCACTTGGGCCACTTCACAGTCCCAGTTCAAGTGTCAACCCCTCGGTGAGCTGGCCATTCTCATGCATTAACTCCTGTTTCCTATACACTATCTATAATCATCCTAAAGTATGTGCTTTCCCTTTTATTTGTTTACTTATGAGGGTTTGGGGGCTGCTTTTCCAGATAGGTTGGCCTTAAGCCTCTATGGGACATAAGCTAGCCTTGAACTCCTGATCTTCCTGCCACCTCATTCCAGGTGCTGGTGTGAAAGGCACGCACCGCCAAGCCTTGCTCGCTTCTGTTTGTTGTGTCTCTTTCTACTGCAATATAACCTCGTGAGAAGAGGGACCTGCCCAAGCCGGCTGGTTCAATACTGTCAGCTCTCTTCAGGAAGCATAGATAATCTTTCAACAAATATTAATTGGATGACTGAAAGACTGTTAAATCTGGAGCTGTACTGAGGGAAGTTATTTAATAATGGACTCATGATCGTAGGTCTAACTTAAATGAATATTTTCCCTGCAAGCTTATTTTTCCCAAGATTCCATTTAAGCATTCACCCTTATGAGAAGGGCGTTGGAAAAGTTGCTATTTTGATGTACACTTATCTGTGCTTCTTTCCTTTGCTTCTTTTTGACTTTAGGAAGCAGTGCAAGTCTGATACTGTCTTTGTGGAACAATGCAAGGAAATGTAAAAGTATCACCTCGAGTGATAGCGATTATGCATGCATTCTTCTCCCTGATTGTCAGCATGTAGTTTCTCTCATATCACTGTCTCTGTGAAATGTATCTGATTTAAAATGCTGCACTTCCTCCTCCGGAAGTATATTAAAGACCTTGACCAAGAGGCAGCTTGTGGCTTCTCTATCCGCCCTTCGCATACGTTCGGACACATTTGTAAACGTTTGAATCTTGTCTATACAAATTACCCTTTTGAAACAGAAATATTGCAGAGCTGAACACATGGAGAGATGAACCGCCACATTCACTGCTCAGGGGCCTCACTGTGGACTATTTTTAACATTTACACATCGAAACTTATAAATTTCAAAATAGTCTTTTTATCTTTCTCATGTTATATCTACTTTTCAACAAATATAGGCAGTGTATTTTTCATATGAAAAATCTGAAGAGACCAGTTCC